CGCACAAGCACACCGACACTGAGAGAAAGAGAGTGAGAGAGAACCTGAGTGCTTCGTTCAGTATTTGGGCAGCCCGAAATATCATATGTTAATTATCATTATGATATTTGCATTTATAATATTGACACTGCAGAAGACTGCAATGTGCAAATGACCCTCTGACAAATTACACATTTCTGATTGCGTGCTATGATCATTCTGATGATCCTCAGCTGTTCTCGTTGTGTTTTGATTTGATTTATTGATCCCATATTCACTCTTTTTGTCAGATATGAAGGTGTATCTTTAACTTTAACTATCTTTATGTCTCATCTAAGGTGTTTAAGTTTATTGCAAGGCACGTTGCAAGTGCATTATGTAGCAACATCCTCGAAATATGGTCTTTGTACATATCATGCAGCCATTTGGTAGCCAAACTACTGTGGGCTTAGTCATGCAACAGCATCTGTCTGCTTAAAATGCTCTACCTATCATTGATTTAACTAAGACTTTGACTTGCATTGACTGGTACACATGATTGCTAAAAACCTGTGCCTCACTCTCAGAGCTAAGAAGTGAAATTAGCCATGTTACCTTAGCATTGTATTGCTTCCTGGCCTACATAAACTCCATGAGATCAACATAGAAGATGTTCCCTCCACCTAGTATATTTTATTTTGGCTAAAAGGTCGATGAGTCAGCAAGGTTGGCTTTCTTTTGCTTGTAACTAGTCAAGCTAGTCATGCTAGTAATGCTAGTTATTCACCTGAGCCCCCCTCATTCACTCAGCTCACAAACCGGGTGACGTATATACTTTTAGTCTTACCTTGGAGTGCAACAATGAGAGCTAAAGCCAGCTTCATCTAGAAGAAAAGCAGAAATAGTAACGTCAGAACTTGTTGCGAAAATGCAGAGAGAGTTTAAAGCATCAGTGTTTTTAGCCAGTAGAGTTGCAGCCAGATTTCCTTCAGGTTTAATATCAAGTCAAGCACTTCATTTCTATTTGTAAGTAATATTGGCCTAATATCACTTTTAAGCAATCATAATTCTCACAGTGCAAAGCCCAGACCTGAAATACAGTGACCCACAAGGTCTATAGATGTCGTCTATAGATATAGTGCAAAACGATGCCAACATGTTTTGTGCATGGAGAAAAGAAGACTAAAGAAGCAAAAATGTAGGAAAAATTCATGCACATTTGAGTGAATGTAGTATGAAAGCATGGTACCTTGAGACAGTGAGGATCCTGTGGAGAGTGTGGAAGGCCAGAGAGCTCCAAGACTGTAGGCAAGTTCACCAGCTGAGTCTGCAGATATATGTCTGCCTTTCACCCATATATCAGTCTGGCCATTTGACCAAACAAACGTCATCACGCACACACACACTAACACACTGATACACACACTAACACACACACATACACATACACACTTGGACAATCTGTCTTGCTCGCCATCTCTTACACACGCACTTGTTTTTATACAATGTCAGGACGTTGGATCATCCATGTCCCCCATGCACTCTGTTTATGCAACCTGTCTATATATATTATTTTAAACATTGTAAAATGTGGCCAGTGCAAAAGTTATGGCACATTTTATTTCTTTCTAGTATGTTCAACTCAGCAAATAAAGAACAATTGCCCACTACAGTTTGCAGAAAAGTGCCAAGTGTGTTCCCGGTAAAAGACGTGTTAACTTATTTTCACTTAAAAAATCAACGAAATGTGATTTGACCAGGGCTTTTCAAACTTTTGCGTATATTTTGTTGCAGTAATTTATATTCAGTATTTATTTATTCTGTTCAGGAATGCCAGCTTTTTACCAGTCCTAAGAACATTTCTACTACCTAAGAACAATGACTTTCAAAGCCTAACTCTAACCTTAACCTCAGAAACAAAAAAGAAATGGTTTTGTTCTTGCATTTTTAAACAAAAAGCCTTGTGTTCGTCCTGATTGATATTTTTGCCCTGAAAATGTACAAAAACAAATATATACACACACTCTCTCTCGTACTTTAAACACACTCCCACGCAGGAGAACCCACTGTTCTTGCACCCTCACCCCGGTTTGTCCACCCAAAGTCCGCTGTACTCCCACATGTGCAAGCGGTGATAATCTGTGCACTTACTTATGACCTAAATCTACTCTATGCATATTTGTGCAGCAGAATAAGACAGTCATTGTGATGCTTATTGAGCTTATTGAGTCCTACTAGTCAGTGTTAATGGAAGGCTTGCTTTTTCAACATGTAAATTTTCTCTTGGATGTGAAAAAATGTAGTTTACACATATAGTACTATAGTACTAGTTTACACATATAACACTATTTGCACTAAGCAGAATTTCAGTTCAAGTATTTTGATACTTAAATAAATTTCCAGACAAAGGAAAAGTACTTGACTTTAAAAAGCAAAACTTTTAAGTAACTTTTTACTAAACTATTTACATCTACTGGCTTATGACCAGAATATGCTCAGCAAGGAGTAACTCACTAATGTTAACGTTCATTGTGTCTTATTATTTGATTGTTGCTAAAGTAAATGTAATGCTGTATTGCAAGCTTAAGAATTTAATGTTATTGTTTTTCAGTTTTTTGACATAATTTGAAAATGCCTTTTGTCCTTTACATTGTATGTAAATTTCATGATGAATAGACCAAAAAAAATGGCCCAAAATGAGTTGGAAAAAAGTCTGGTCCATTGACTTACATTAAAAGTAAAGTAGGTTTTTTCCTTCTCCTGTAAAGTTACCATTTTGGAGATACAAGGTTTTCTTCTGAAAACAGCGATATGATATGTACATAACAAAAGAAAGTAGTATTAATACATGATGGAGATTACTGCAGTTAAATGCCTTAGTGCATTTCTTTTATACCAAAGGCAAATTTTGTAGGAATACAAAATTACACACTGGATATTTATGCAGTTGGTTGCTTTGGTACATTTCTTTTATACCAAAAGCATGTGTTGTAAGCATTTATACATACTGGACATTTATATAGTTTTGGTACAATTCTTTTATGTCAAAGACAAATGTTGTAAATATTAATTCATACTGATTTATGCAGTTAAAGGCTTTGATTTTATTATTTATACCATATAAAAAGTGTGATAAGTAGTAATACTGGAGATTAATACAGTTAAATGCTTTGGTACATTTTTTTCAATGCCAAAGGCAGATTTTAATACATACTGGAGATTTATGCATCTGGATGCTTTGGTACATTTCTTTTATACAAAATGTAAGTGCTGTAATCATAATTATAATTACATACTGGATATTAATGCAGTTTAATGCTTTGGTACTTTTTATACCAAATGCAAATTTTGTAAGCATTAATACATACCAGAGATTTTTGCTGTTGGATGCTTTCGTACATTTCTTTTATGTCAAAGGCAAGTGTTGTATTAATACATACTGGATATTTATGCAGCTGGATGCTCGGGCACATTGTAAGTGTTAATACATACTGGAGATTGATGAAGTTGGATGCTTGGATACATGGTAAGTGTTAATACATACTGGAGATTGATGAAGTTGGATGCTTGGATACATGGTAAGTGTTAATACATACTGGAGATTGATGAAGTTGGATGCTTGGATACCTGATACGTGTTAATACATTCTGGAGATTGATGAAGTTGGATGCTTGGGTACATGGTAAGTGTTAATACACACTGGAGATTGATGGAACTGGATGCTTTGGTGCATTTCTCTTAAACATAAAGCAGGTGCCGTAAGAATTAATACATACTGGAGATTTAAATGCTTTGAAGAATTCAAATGCATTTAAATGCTTTGGTACATTTCTTTTTTATCAAGGGCAAGTTTTGTAAGAACTTATTCCTACTGGAGATTAATGCTTTTGGACACTTTGGTATGTTTATTTTATAACAAATGAAAAGGGTGCAAGTGTTAATAAATGTTGGGGGCTTGAACTGTTAAATGACTTGGTACATTTCATTTATGTAGCAAAGCAAATTTTGTAAGGATTAATTCATACTGGAGATTTCTGCAGTTCACAGCTTTGGTACATTTATTTTATATGAAAAGAAAATGTTATAAGTATTAATATATACTGGAGATTTCTGCAGTTCACAGCTTTGGTACATTTATTTTATATGAAAAGAAAATGTTATAAGTATTAATATATACTGGAGATTTATGCAGTTGGATGCTTCGGTATGTTTCTTTTATACCAAAGTTGGGTGTTGTAAGTATTAATACATACTGGAGACTTCTGCAGTTAAATGCTGGGGTGCATTTATTTAACGCCAAAGGCAAGTTTTGTTGGAATTAATACGTACTGAAGATTTATGCTGTCAGATTTTTGGTATGTTTCTTTTATATCAAAGGCAAGTGTTGTAAGTATTAATACATACTGGAGATTTTTGCAGTTGGATGCTTTGGTGCATTTCTTTTATATCAAAGGCAAGTGTTGTAAGTATTGACATACACCTGAGATTTATATACATACTGTTCAAAAATACTTTTGGCCTTTTTTGTGCATTGAAAAAATGTATTCAATTAATACGCTTTTTTTCTAGGGTATGCTTGCTGATTTCAGCTGCTTGCAGACTGGCGGATATCTCTGTCATCTTTTCCGTTTCTAACACGTCTTCCAGAATCAATACTCTTGTCTTTTTGAGTACACAACGAGCCCAGTGAAAAACGGCTTGTGCAAAGGTTGTGGAAAGGTTTCCACACACAAGGCAGACTGGGGGTCGGACCTAATGAACTTTCCTCTTTGGAACTTTACGTGTCTCATCTGTGACCTTTGACCCTGCGTTTGTGTATTGGGTGCACTTCATGGTTATTGTTGTTGTTTTTGTTGTTTTATAACCCTTATTAAATTACTTTCATTGTTTTTCTGTGTGCTGTTTCCCACACGTTTACACACAATTTTATGGAGTTATGCACACCTTTTTATGGCACAAGGTTAGTAGATCAGAGATTATATAATAAACAAGACAGAACCTGGCTGTGACCTAGAAAAGTAAACATGCAAAAAGTATGCAGATTTTGGGATGGAGATAATGTGCTTTATTTGTTATTCTAATTGAGAAAACATAGACAAATTATGACATAAATGATGCCTTCATGCTGGAACGTGCCGTGTTTGTTCATTTGCTAAGCTGTGGTTCGTTTGTGTGCTGTTGTGGAAATTTTCAGTTTTTTGAGATGTTCTAGTCAGATGCAGAGCTGGACACTCTCTTTTTGACCCTCTCCCAGAGAGAGCCGGCTTTCTCTTTAGCCCACTGGATGTATGGGTCGGCCACAGGCTTTACATGTTCATCATAGTACATTTCGGCAAAGTCAGCCACCACACTGCCCGCATTCACAACCCGACTCTTTAATTCTCTGGAAAACACACACAGATAGAGAGAATATTGGTCAACATTTACGATGTGCCATATGCTACATTTTCATGAAATGCCAGCGTAAGTAATAAGTAATTTCTACTGGCCCATTCATCATGAAATGTTCAAGCTGCCATTTTCAAATGGTGTATAATAAAAATAAAACATGTTTGTGAGGTTTTATATATATATATATATATATATATATATATATATATATATATATATATATATTTCATGAAATAGAAATAGTGCATAATATTTGTCAACATTCTAAAAGTTTCAGTTTTTACTGTTGTTTTTTTCAGCTTCAAATGAAAATCAATGACATATATATATATATATATATATATATATATGTCATGATATATATATATATATATATATGAGCATGATTCCAACCTATAGCTTGCAGGGCCATCACTGCTGTCTTATATAATTAGCTGCAGGCCGTGCCAGCTGTTAAGCAATAGTTCTGGCTGTGCTAACACTCCTGTACCTGTACGCCTCCTTTGCCCTCTCCAGAACCCCTGGGTCATCGTCACTGTCCGCCATAATCGCACATGCTGTGGGCGGCACAAGTTTTATTTTCAGCAGAAAAGGCCAATGATACAATGTCAATTAGCACATATCTTCATCATAAACGGTGTATTGATTGAACTGCAGCGCACATTCCCCAGTGTTTTCACTGGTTTACTACATGATTTGACTGTTTACTAACGATGACTATCTTTGTGAGCTGTAATTTAATTAATGGAGTCACAAAATTGATTCATATTCAGACAAATGAAACATTACTTCAACATGTCTATTATGCTTAATACTGTCATGACACTATGACTTTTTCTGTTTAAGCCTTTTGAGCTAACCAAGAAACAAGACAAACAAAACTAGCATGCATGAAATAAACCAACCTACCTTGTAGCACTATGACCAGGACAAACAGCGCCAACTTGGACATCTGTTGGAGAAGTGACCACACCACTTGAATGAATTAGTTAGAGATGGTATATTAATTACTTCAGAAACAATGTTTGCTAGCATGTGCATTCTGGATCTGGATTAGCGGTAGCATATAGTAAATAAATACCGTTCAGAGTTGAGATGGAAAGCCGCCTCCTGAGTATTTCAGTTGAATATTGTACTAATATCTGCAGCCAACCAAATCAGGCGTATTTCTATAGTTTTTATGATGAACTAATGGGCTCAGTTGCTTTCCAGATCTAAGCGATAAGGTGGTGCAATGTGCTGCCTGGCTGTGTTTGAATGTAACATTCAGAGAAATGGATTACTCATTATTGGAGAATTACACTGGTCGTCCTGTTTAGAACAACAGTGGAGTCAATCATTTCGATTGATTTTTGCCATCACATGATTCTTCGGTGACCCTCCGACCTCAGGCATGTGTGGGGATATGTTTTTGGAGGAGGTAAAGGGGATATAGATATTGGTTGAGAGTTGCTGTCTATAAAACTGAAAATGGCCCAGAAGATTTACCTATGAGCAGTTTTAGAGGACAAAGTCTATTACAACAGTGGTGTTTATTCCTCTTCATCTGCTTATGTTTGTTTTTGGCATCCTACACTCAGCAAAGAGGGTTCTATGTAGTACCAAGTAAAGGTTCCATGGATTGAAACATATATACAACAGTATTTTCCTTCAATGAAACATTTAAACATGCAAACAACTATTTACTTCAAAGAGTTTTGTATACAGTCATATACAAAACCTTTAGAACTCCTGGCCAAATTACACATTTTGTTGATTTTTTTTTTAGTGAAAAGAATTAAACACAACCTCTTTTGCAAACTATTTTTAAAAATTACATTACACAGTTTGGACACCCTGCTAAGCAGTACTTTGTAGCACTCTCTTTGGCAGATATCACGGCTTGCAAACATTCTTTTTGTTTGTAGGAATTTTCCCCCACTCTTCCTTGTAGAATGCTTCTAGTTCTGATAGCTTAAATGCTATAACTACTTCCACTCATCTAGGAAGCTTTCTACAAGATTTTGAAGCATGTCTATGGGAATTTCTGCCCATTCATCCAGAAGAGCATTTGTGAGGTTAGACACTGATATGGGCCTGGCTCACAGTCTCCGTTCTAGTTCATCCCAGAGGTGTTTGATGGGGTTGAGGTCAGGGCTCTGTGCAGGCAAGTCAAGTTCTTCAACAGAAAACTCACCCAACCTTGCCTTTATGGACCTTGCTTTGTGCACTGGGGCTCAAACTAAGGGTTCTATGCCAATCCCTGAAAAACAAACCCGTAACATTACCCCTCATCCACCAAACTTTACTGTTGACACAATGCAGTCAGGCAGGTAACATTCTTCTGGCATTCGTCAAACCCAGACTAGTGCATCAGACTGCCAGATAGAGAAGCATAATTAGTCACCGCACAGAATATGTTTCCATGCTCCAGAGTCCAGTGGAGCCATGCTTCATACCCCCCATTAGGCATTGTGCATTTTGATCTTAGTCTTGTGTGTAGCTGCTCAGCCACGGAAACACATTTTGTGATGCACAGTTTTTTTTGCTGATGTTGCTTCTAGAGGCAATTTGGAACTTGTTAGTGAGTGATTGAACAGAGGATAGACACTGTTCGCATCAGCACGCGGCACCCCCCCCTCCCTCCCCACGTGACTTTGCATGGCAGCTGTTGTTTCTCCTAGGTGCCTCCATTTCACAATCATGCACTTACAGTTGACAGGGGCAGATCTAGCAGGACAGAAATTTCACAAACTGACTGGTGGTACAGGTGGCATCCTACAACAGTGCCAGTGTTTGTCTATGGAGACTTCAAGACTATGTGCTTAATTTTATACACCTGTTAGCCATTAGTGTGACTGAAACACCTGAACTCAATAATTAGAAGGGGTGTCCCAATACTTTTGTCTATAAACATGCAAGAATATGACTACTAGTGAAGAAATTCTTCTTAAATTCCTTTGGAAAGATACAGTTTGATTCCAGCTCGCAAAAAGAACATAGATGCACAATCGTATGCATAAGTTTAAGCACCCCTTGTCAAACACGTTTTCCCACATGGAAAAAATATATAAGAACATATATAATATTGTATATTTGAAATACATGTCAAATACATTGCAATCCCTGACAAAATATGTTCTAAACACTAAAATATATTTCATATATTTATATATATCATATATTTCATATATATATATGTTCTTTTTTTTCTTATGAAATGAATTTGTATTCCTGTATCTTAAATTTAAGTATTCAGTATTAAATCTTTAATATGGCAAAAGCAAGTGTTGTAGGTATTGATACTCTGTGAAAATGCATTGATTTAAGTAACAATTAGTTAACACATCCTCTACAGAAAACATCTGTCACATCTTTTGCTCTATTTAATATATTAAGGGAAAAAAACATAACTTTTGCACAGGCCACATTTTATGTTATTGTATGTATGTGTATGAAACAAATTAATACTAATTGCGCACTAAAATATGCAGAAAAGCAGCATGTTTAAGTTCCCTGTAGAGAATGTGTTAACCTATTGTCACAAATCAAAATTTGTCTAGGAGGTGGTCAAACATTTGCATATGACTGTATCAACTTATTTAGCAGAGCATTTCAGGGACAAAAAAAATTGTATGTTTTAAAGTGGACCTCTTTTTACTTTGTTAAGTAGCAGAAAATTGCTTACATTCAGCCACATGATCTCTGCAGAAAGTGAGGAAATGTCTTATTCTATTTGTTGCTTTGTATTCTTTTTATTTGCATTTACTGATATTCCAATTATTACATTTACTACCAACCAGATCCACTCGCCTGATAGTAAGTTTCTGAATTTCTTCTGAAAAGTTCTGAATGAATGTTGAATTTGCTGAAAGTTGGCAAAGTAATACGAACCTTCAACTTTTATGGGGACAAGAACTGTTTACATTAGACTGTTAAAGGTTAAATAAATTCAATAACAGGTTTAATTCATGGAAATGAGCTAGGAAGGGTTCATAGTCTACCACGTCCCCAAAACCACCTGCCTGGTTTGCCTGCTTGGACTCGACTGACTTTCGATTGAACTGGAGAAAAGTACTGATTATTAACAGAGAACAAACAGTGACTTTAACCTGTTGGAGTAGAGATGATGGCCTGATGCGGGTCGTCCTCCGACCCAGTTCCTTTAAAGGAAATAGGACAGTATTTGGATATGTTATTAAATGATACTAAATGGACATCAAACTAGTGCTTGTTTATGTTGTGACTGTGCTTGTTGTGGTCACCTGGCTCTTTAATTTTTTTTTTTGTTTATTATTTCTTTCATATTATGTATGTCATTCAGGAAAAGCTGAATGTCAAATAATTGTATGTGGTGCACACTAAAATATATAGCACAAACCACTTGGTCACCACTTTGTGGTGCTCAAATTCTGCATAGGTCTGGAAATGCTAATGACGTGAATAGCTTTTTTATAATGTACAAAGTCAAAAAAGGAGGAAAAATGTGTTCTTTCTTATTGTTTCCAGCCTTTATTGGCACATTTCTTGAATTTGACAGCTTTGATATCACTTGACAATGATAGAAAATGACAGAAAATGACTAGATGTTGCACAGATCATACAAAAAGTGAGCAGGTCGTCCCAGAGTGTGAAGGCTGTAACAGCTGGCTCTGTTAAGCACAATGAGGCGTAGCAATATTACATCGTCTGGGACTGCAGGGGTCTTGGGTTATGGTGGGTGGGTTTACTTGCTGAAGGCATCCTTTAACTTACTCATCTGCTCAGTGAACCAGCTCCTGAGGGCGGCCACAGAGAAGCAAACACATGAGTTATACAGGTTAAGAATGGACAAAGTGTGTGTGTCTTTAAGTTTGAAGTTTTCTACCATTAAAGGAGTTGAGAGTCCCCATTTGAAAAAAAAAAAGTATATATGCAAAGTGTGAATACCAAATGTATCAAACACAAATGGCCAACATATATTGTTGTCTAATATAATTTGGGGTCTACGGGTAGATGACAATGACTGGCCAATAGTTTTTCTTTACTTGGTCTTAGTGACAAACTCGCTCTCCTCCAGCTTCTTGAATGCGGCCGAGGCCTTATCGGACAAATCCGATCCAAACTCCACGACTTTTTGGTGGAAGTCTGCAATCTTTTGAAACGCAGGAGGCATTTGTGTTTCTGTTTAAGGAGGAAAAGAAATGAAACTCATTAAAGACGAGCGAATATTTCTGCCAAACTGTAACTCACGGAGAGATGAGATGAATAAGATTCGTGGAGTCGATTCTCACGAGTGATTCGTGATGCGAATGACTAGTGATTCTTACCCGCTTGCGCAGCGACCACGAGCATCATCAACACGGCAACGGCGAGGTACAGTCTCATACTGGCAGCGTTGTCTGAAACAAAATGTAAAAATATGCACATATTTTAGATAGTATGTCGACAAGAAACATTGTCGAGACAAGATGTTTATTACACAGACTAAAAATACCCTCAATAACTGTCCGTACAGTCGCTGAATAGATTTATCTGTGGACAAGTAACGTTAACGTTAGCTAGCTAGCGAAGCTAGCACCAACGGGCGTTGTTTCCTTGTGTTTTCCACGAACATTGTCCTTCGCTTTATCACGCTAGAACTTAAAAAATGTATAACTGTCATTAAAATTAAGTCATTATCAAAAAGCTTTTTAACTGTGTTTTATTTTGGATGTATAACTTAGGATATCTCTCTCTTTTTTTTCTCCTCAGCAACTGTTTTTCCTCAGAGGTCACACGGTGGCGCGAAGCCGAATCCTAGATGTCGCCCGAACACAACGTAAGTGCTCTTCTTCTTGAAGGCACAAAATACTTTGTAAAGGTAAGGTTCTTAATTTTGCCATTAAATTCACGCTAGCGTGTAATTTAATGATGCACTGACATTTTACGCCCCCCCCCCAAAAAAAAACAAAACAAAAAAACACCACTAAAAAAAACCCCTCTGTAACCTGTACAACCACTTTTCAAGTTAAAGTGCAGTATACTTGTACCTGTTTCGGCCTTTTCCAGAGAAGTTTGGAGAATAAAGGCGGTCGGATGCCTTGGCTCTATATAACATCCCCTTCTTGGTGACGTCATCACAAAAACACCATCTCTGTCCCATCAAGGCTTGCCAGTCTCTGTCGTGTCATGTATTGAACGTCTGTCTTACAGAAGTAAAGTGTTTCTTAATGTTTATTATGTGAAATTGCATGAAGTCCCTGTTGGCTTTGCATTAGGTTTTTAGGTCTCTGTTCGCCAGCATGTAAATAGGACATCTGCAGTGTCTCTAACCTTTGAGACTCGTGTCTCGGTGACATAGCTGTGGTAAATGTTATGTGCCTGCTAGCACGTTGTTTCATTAAGCAGTATGAAGTCCACTCGTTATCAGAATAACAGAGGCCCAAATACCACGCAGTGTCATCAGTATCGGCCTGGGTCTGGCAAACATTTCTGCCAAACCCTTTTTTACTTTCACAGATCATTCTGCTTTAACTAATAGGCCTATTATTGGTTTATAAAAAAAGTAAATTCTAAGACAGCTACTTTAACAAAGTAAATTTGGCTTGATCCAAACTTATTATTTCTTTCATATTACATGTTTCATTCAGGAATAACTGAATGTAAAACAATGGTATGTCCAGCTATATGGTGCATGTTGATCTATATAACACAAACCACTTACTTTGTCACCACTGATATTCTGAATAGGCCTGGAAACGCTAATAAAATGAATAGCTTTTTCATAATGTACAAAGTCAAAAAAGGAGGAAAAATGTGTTCTTTCTTTAATTTATTTGCACATTTCTGAATTTGACAGCGTTGATATCACTCAACAATGATGGAAAATGACAGAAAATGACTAGATATTGCACAGATCATACAAAAAGTGAGCAGGTCATCCCAGAGTGTGAAGGCTGTAACAGCTGGCTCTGTTAAGCACAATGAGGCGTAGCAATATCACATCGTCTGGGACTGCAGGGGTCTTGGGTTATGGTGGGTGGGTTTACTGGCTGAAGGCATCCTTTAACTTACTCATCTGCTCATTGAACCAGGTCCTGAGGGCGGCCACAGAGAAACAAACACATGAGTTATACAGGTTAAGAATGGACAAAGTCACTGTGTGTCTTTAAGTGTGAAGTTTTCTATCATTAAAGGAGTTGGGAGTCCCCATTTGAAAAAAAGTGTATATGCAAAGTACACAAATGGCCAACATAAGTTGCTGTTTAAAATAATTTGGTGTCTGGACTCATGAAAGTCTAAAGGTAGATGTTAATGACTGGCCAATAGAACAGGATTTTTCTTTACGTGGTCTTAGTGGCAAACTCGCTCTCCTCCAGCTTCTTGAATGCAGCTGTGGCCTTCTCGGACAGATCCTTTCCCAACTCCATGACTTTTGTCTGGAAGGTGGCAAAGTGCTGCTCTATTGTGGGCTCCTCTTGTGCCTCTGTGTAACGAGGAAAAGAAACGAAGCTCGTTAAAGACGAGCAAATATTTCCCCAAAACAATAACCCACGGAGAGATGAATATGATTCGTGGAATCGATTCACACAAATGATTCATGATTCGAATTACAAGTGATTCTTACCTGCGTGTGCAAGAAGCACGAGCATCAGCGCAGCAACAGCGAGGTACAGTCTCATGTTGGCAACGTTGTCTGGAACAAAATATAAAAAGATACGCACATATTTTAGATAATATATACACAAGAAATATTCACAGACAAGATATATATCACACAGACTAAGAATACCCGCAATAACTAACCGTAAAGTTGCTGAATAGGTTTATTTGTGGATGAGTAACGTTAGCTAGCGAAGGTAGCGCCAACGAACGCCCAAAGTTGTTTTCTTGTTTTTCCACGATCGTTTTTTCTCACTTTATCGCACTGAAACTTCAAAAATGTATTACTGTTATTGAAAGTAAGTAATTTTAAAACATATTCTTTTTATGTTATGTTTTGGATGTATAACTTCAGCTATCTCTCTCTTTTTCTCCTCAGCAACTGTTTTTCCTCAGAGGTCACACAGTGGCGCACAGCTGCCTCCTAGATGTCATCAAAACACAACGTAAGTGCTTTTCCTCTTGCAAGGTACAAAAAAATTGCTTTATTCAATGATAAGGTTCTTAATTTTGTCATTAAATTCACGCTAGCATGTAATTTAACCACTGGAATTTAACCCAAAAAAGGAACAAAAACCCCAAAACCCTGCTTACAAAACCACAACCACTTTTAAAGTTAGAATGCAGTATACTTGTACCTGTTTCGTCCTCTTCCAGAAAGAGAAGTTTGGAGAATAAAGGCGGTCGGATGCCTTGGCTTTATATAACGACCCCTTCTTGCTGACGTCATCACAAAAACACCACCTCTGACCCATCAAGGCTTGCGCAGTCTCTGTCGTGTCATGTATTGAACGTCTGTCTTACGGAAGTTAAGTTTTTTTAATGTTTATCATGTGAAATTGCATAAGTCCCTATTGGCTTTGCATTAGGTTTTTGGGTGTCTATTCGCCATTGGATAGTAAATAGGACATCTGCAGTGTCTCTAACCTTTGAGACTCGTGTCTCGGTGACATAGCTGTGGTAAATGTTATGTGACTGCTAGCATGTTGTTTCATTAAGCAGTATGAAGTCCACTCGTTATCAGAATAACAAAGGCCCAAATACCACGCAGTGTCATCAGTATAGGCCTGGGTCTGGCAACCTTCGGTCCCCCTTCAGAGAAAAAACATTTCTGCCAAAACTTTTTTTACCTTCACAAATCATTCTGCTTTAACTAATAGGCCTTTAGTTGGCTTTTAAAAGGTAAATTCTGTAAAAGTTAACAAAGTGCATTTGGCTTGATCCAAGCAAGTCTGGGGTGGCCAAGATGTGGTTACAGCAATCGATTTTTGTGGCTTCAAGCACAAGGTCAGCCATTCCGTTTAAAAGGGCTAAGGAGTGAGACTTAAGGATATGATCATAAATTGCAATTAAATCTCTTTTCTGTTAAAAGGGAAGAATACTTTCTAACCTACACTGATTACATGGCTGGTGAGGTGTAAGTGCTCTCAATATTATGCTAATAACTTATAAAACCACCTAGATAGAAGATAAAACATTCCATATCCTATCAGTAAAGATATGGGGAGAGCTTTTATCAGTTGATAAAAGTGTATAATTATATAATTATATAAACCTGTGCCGTGACATCTCTGAGCGCTACGAAGGAGTGGTAGAAAATCACTGAAAACGACTGCAATGTAAAGTGCTGTAATGTAGGATCACTATAAGATGCTATTTGAACAGTTTAGCTGGATGAATAACAAGGAAAACTGGGGGATGTCGTTATATTACGTTATATGAAGTAATTTTGATTGATCCTGGCACTGCAGGCATATTGTAGCACAATGCAAAATGTAGTGACCAATGGCAGAGCAACTTAGTAGTAGTAGTAGTAGTGTGGCATAATGTTGTTTCTTAGCAAACCACCAACAATACATTTCTGTATTTCTGTGGGATGGTATTTACTCCATGTTCTCTGAGTGGTAACTGCAGAAAGTCATGAGTGTCTCAATTCAAACAGCATTTCAAAATAATTACATTAGGTTGTTTGCCCAGGGCAGTGTTGTTGTGGATGTGGGCAAAAGTCCAATTTCTTTCTTGAACTTACATCAAAAGATAACCCATGCTTTCTTATGATAATCCTCTTTCTCTTTAATTGTAATAAAAGGATGTGTTAGGACAAAGATAATGCTGAGTGTTGCCAATTTTATGGACATTAGTGCAATGTAAGTTGGTTCCTCATTAGATTATGCTTTTTGAAATTTGGAGAACAAAGAAGACAAGGTGATTCTACATTAATGGAGCTCTGTAAAGAAGTACATAAAATACATAAAATAAATACACACACACACACACACACACACACACACACCTTCTAAGCCGCTTGTCCTTCTGGGTCACTATCCCAGCAGTCATTGGGTGGAAGGCAGGATACACCCTGGACAGGTCGCCAGTCCATCGCAGGGCAGACAGACAGACAGACGGACACATACATTCACATCCACACACACATTCACACCTAGGGGCAATTTAGCATGTCCAGTTGGCCTGACTGCATGTCTTTGGACTGTGGGATGAAACCGGAGAACCCCACATTCCACATTCCCATCTGCTCGCAGGGCATTACCTTAAAACTAAAAGCATAATTTTCTGTAGTTTCACTAGCTGTATTGTACTGGAAATAGGCTCTGCCAAGAGAAGTGTGCAAAGCCAACACAAAATGCTCAGCATGGCTCATGAGTTCCTGAGCACTGGCCTGATTCTTTCTTTTTTGTTTTCCTCTTCAGTGAGTTCTCTCTTGTTAGGTTTCGGAATCGAGTCACACGTTCAGGCCATGCCGAGTCTATTAAAAGGCCTTGATCTCATCACGGCTGTTGTTTGGCCTGATTTGAGAAAAAGTGCTGAAAAAGGTCTCTGCGGCGTCTAGACTTGGAGGAAGGGAAGTGAGGCTCCGTGCAAATGAGGACATTTTTGATGGGGGTGTCCTGCGGTGAGGCAGTGAACTGCAGTTACCTCTGGATGTGAATATGAAAAGCCTGAGGCCCAGGGGGAATGAACTGCGCTCTTAGAAGCTTTTAGTCTAGAGTCATTTGTCAACAAGTAATTGATGGCTTGGACCATTAAGGAATTAGAGCTAGCCAGCGTTGTCACCTGTCTTTGTCTGGGCTTTTCTCTTCTAAGTATGTACACTACCGTTCAAATGTTTGGAGTCACTTGCCATAATAACAGTTCATGTTTATTATATACAACAACAACTTGTAACTTATTAAACACGGTAGAAGTAAATCTTATAAATCCTTTTTTATTGAGCGACAAAAAGCTATTCAGTGTAATAATCATGGAGACGGTAATAATGAATTTTAATGGCTGATTCTAATTTCTTTACAGCCAGATTGACTGATGGCAGATTTTTGGCCAATATTTATCAATCCTTTTTGTTCCCCAAAGTTTACACTATGTTTGCTAAATGAACACATGAAACACACTGGTACATTTCCCACTTTTTCGTACTTTCTGGTAGCCAAAGTCACAATATATGTAATACTGTTTGCTCACGAATGTAAAAATAAAAATAAATTCCCAGAAGAAAATAATGTATTGCTTATATGTTGCCCTTTTATGGCTCAGGAGACATAATGGTGATCCTCTTCTCTTATTCAAGAGAAATAGCATTAGACAAAAAGATACTTCTGACCCAGATAACACCTAAAACAGTTACAGCATCAAAACAGAGAAGACTCTTCATCTTGGATGAGAAGTGGTTGAGATTCCCGTCTTTAGTTGCAGATCTTTCCATCTGACTTCCTTGTTGTCAAGAGAAACTAATGAGATATTAAGGAGATCTCTATTATTTTTTTTTCCTCTGGGATACTGTGAAAACAAAGAATCATTTTTTTGAAGGTGATTCCAAACTTTTAAACTTTAGTGCTTGCATATTTGCGGGCTTTGTCCTGTCTCTGTAGCAGTGTTTTTGTTCAAACATTTGGCAAATTTGAAGCAAATTTCCAGAACATTGTTGAAAGAAAATGATAGCGTTTCCATCAACTCCTTTTATGCTCAAATTCCCAAAGATAATTTCACATTCTTGTGCAAGTGCCGCAAAGCAAGTCTCGCTCTCTGTGCATGGCGGGATTCAAATCTTTATATTAGCTTTCAGTAAAGCAGTTTTGACAGACCTCTGTCAGCTGTGCGTGGATGTAGCTCTAACAGTTCAGAGAAATCTGGTGGAGTGGGTTGTGGCCCATTTAGCCGGTGAGGACTGAAGTCACAGTTACACACCAAAGCTTTGGGAACGTTAGCTCAAATGTAGCATTGATGATTTTCATCTGCGATTATGTTGGGTTGTACCACAGTGTCTGTCCGACACGTGCTGGTTGTGCTGTTTGAGTGTGGTTTCTACTCAAGGTACAGGGGTACTCCAAAGTACTTTAGTGTGGTTTATAAACAAAACATGATCCGGCATGTGTTTCTTTTGCTGCCCGAAGATTCTGTCTCGGTTTTGCATCATATCAAAACAATTTCCACGTTGGAAATTATGGATAATCCTGGCAAAGAAAATTAGAACAAACTTTCTGAATCCACAAGTGACAATTTGTCCTCCATACAAATACATTACAATTCGTCCCCTACAGCAGTTTCTAGTGACGTTTTTATTGCGTGCGCTTCAATATCTGCCTGGAACATGTGCCAGTTGTGCCATTTGGGCATGGCTGCGTCATATAACAAGTGTCACTTGGGAAATCATGGTAAACCCTGGCAAAGAATGGTAAAATTAATATGTACTCTCTGAATCTAGAAGTTTGTGCTCAAGAACGACAACTACAACAGTTTCTGTGACATTTTTATTTTATTTGTAGACGGGCTGCTGAACAGTTTACCCTAAGCCGTTATAAGTGCTGTCAACACTCAATTTAAAAGAGTTTTAAAAGGGTTTCTTTGCTTTGATGCTGCGTAAAAAGCAGTGAACTGGCACAGGTAAATGGAGCACACCCAATTTTAATTGTAGATTAAAGTAGGCTATGAAATTTAAGATCCAGTACAAGTGCCTGTAACTCCTCATTTAAACAGGTGTCTCTGGTCTTGCCGCTAGCCTTTCAATCCTGCTACATCATCACTTGCTTAAAAAAATCTCCGTCACTGTTTCACATTTCTCTTTTCTTGAAAAACCAACTTTTCCACCTTATCCAAGTGATTTTTTTTTTATTTCTGGCTTTCCTATCCAGGGTTTTTAAAAAAAGGTGGATGGAAAACCCTTGAAAACCCTTGTATGTTTTATGCTTTTACTTGATTTTGTGCTATTGCTAAAAGGCCAACCTCTGTGTGTTTGTATGCAACAGGAAGAGATACACCACGTTTCATGCTGTGCCATTTGAGATCATTTGTCTGTTGCTTGGAGCATAAAGCTGCAGGTCAGGACCTGCACCAAATGTCGCTGATGCAGGTAAACAACTAAAGAAAGGCGCCTTTAGAAAAACAAGCATTTGAACTGGGGCACATGATCTTATGCCAGGAAAGAAATAACAATCTGAGTCGTATTAGTCAGTCATCAAGGGCTTGTTTGCCTGCTTTTTTCGAAATGAGAGCACATCTGTCTTTGACAGAAATGCCAGCTAAATAAAAAAAAACAGCAGGGCTGCACAGTATATCATTTGTAAATCATTATTATGATATAAGCCTTTGCAAAACTGATATCACAGAAGGCTACATTACCCAACTGACCCCTCTTAACTTACCACAGTGCTTTTTACTATGTGCCGTGAGCATTCTGACCAGTCATAGTTCCAGATGAGTGTTTCTGTGGGTGATTTTAAACAAGGTATTCTTGTAATCCAACAAAATTAAATTATTATGGTTAAAATAATGC